ATGGAGCCGGGGGTTGAGTTTCCTCTTCCCTCGGTTTTTTGGGGGGGTCTTTGGCGCTGGGGTGGTGTCGGTGTCCCTGGCAGAGGAGGGGGCCGGTGCCTCCCGGATGGGAGGGAAGGAAAAGGCAGACAATACTTATTGATGTGCTGGGTGACCCCGGGGTTTTTGTGTTTGTGTGTGTGTGTGTTTTGTTTTTTTTCCCCTTGTTTTTATCTCCTTTTCACGCAATACCCGTGTTTGGCCCTTTTCAGTTGTAAACTTGTATTTTTAAGAGTCTGTCTTTTGCCCCAACCTGAGAAACACTTTTTTTTTTTTTTTAAATTTTGGTCAATGTTTAATAACTTTGTTATGAGCAGAGATTTTATTCGACAGATCATGAGTAAGGAATTTCCTTTATGAAGAGCGAGGGAGGTGGGGTAAGGGGGCAGCGTGGATTTTAAGGCTGGTTTCAGCAATTCGGTGGGTGATCAATTTACCCGCTTCCTGCTGCGTCTCCCCAGGTTTTCAGGAAAACACAAGGTTTCACGTTAAAAGTTCTGGTAGGCCACACAGCTCTCAAACAATGGCCGTGCTTTGATTTCCAGTCTAACTTAAAAAAAACAAAACCAAACAAACCCAAAAACCCCAAACTCTTTTCTATTTCACAACTGAACTTTTTTAAAAACGCACATCTTGTGCTGGCTTAATTTTATTTTTTAATATAATCTGTTATTTTTAGAGGAATGTTGAATCAGAACAAGGAAGCTTTGAAGGCGTAGCTGTGCTCGCTGCGGATTAAAGCTTGACTTACTCAACGTCGTCGCCCCTTAAGCTTAAAGCTTGTTTGGGGATGGCTGTGAAGTTTTTAGCTCTTGTGGAACATCCCGTAATCTAAAGTATTTTGCTTGACAATGATAACACAGAATGGTTTATTTACACCCTGTGTTTTTATCGAGGGAAAAGGAAAACTGTCCGCTTTCAGTGCACTGTAGCAGTGTAGAAGCCTTTGTTTGTAAATACCCAACTCTTCCCAGGAAATGATTTACTGGGAAAAGTGGATGATATCTATCTATATATATATATATATATTTTAACGAAGAGTTTGGGAATGAGAAGAAGTCCTGGGAGCCATTAGCAGCGGCGAGTCTTGCAGCTGCTGCTTTGCTAATGAATGTGCCTTGTGTAGGTGACTTCACATATTTCTGATGCTCTCTGTGCTTTGAATGACAGGATTCAGCTGTCCTGAATGCTTTTAACACGGTGTTTCGATAAAAAACACGGCTTGGAACTAAACTTGAACTACCCACAATGCTCTTTTCCCCTTTGCTCCCTTTCAAAATGTCGCCTTTGCCAAGTTTTTCCTCTCGTGTCTGGAGCTGCCTCGTCTGTATTAAATGAAAGAGGAAGCGGCTGGGAGCAGCAGGCACTGGTGTGAATCTTTGAAGTACCTTGAATGAGATTTATACAGTCTCAAAAAGCCCTAATTTTTCTTTATTTATATTTACATAATAATTTATACAATTATTAATGATCTGCGTGGAAATTAAACCAGAAATGAGTTTGTGCTGGTGAACAGAGGGGCCTTGTAGCCAAAGTAACGTTGTGGCTGTGCAGGTTCCACGCACGACTCTGCACCTTGTGGTATTTCCAGTGAAAAAGGCTTGTCACAATTCACAGATCCTTGAAACTTTTTGTGGATTCGTGTAGCAGGATGTGTGTAATCCTAGCACTGCCATTCCTTTGGAGTTTTTGGCCACTTCTGATTCTTAAATTATAAATTCCTTGGAGCAAGAACTAGTCCTGTGCGTGCAAAATTATTTAATTCAGTTTAGCAGGGATAGAATTGAATTTGTCCTGCAAGAATGGGAGTGTTTGGAGCTGCCTTGTCTGTGTTGGGTGAAAGAGGAAGCGTCTGGAGCACGAGACACTTGTGTGGATCTTCGTGGTACCTTGAATGAGATTTTTAGAGTCTCAAAAAACCCCCTGATTTTTCTAGTAACATAGTTATTAATGATCTGCATGCAAATTAAACCAGGAATTAATTTGTGCTGGTGAACAGAGGGACCTTGTAGCCAAAATAACGTTGTAGCTTTTCAGGCTTCCAGTCTCAACTTTGTACCTTGTGGTATTTCCACTGGAAAAAGGCTTGTCACAATATATAGATCCTTGAAACTTTGTGGATTCATAGTATCCTATTTTATTATTTTTTTTAAAGACTCTTCTAAGAGACCTTGTAACTTCCTTTCATAGAGGCTGCTCAGATTTTGTTGTCTGCAATTAATAAACACCCCAACTTGCTGATATGTGAAGTTCTTACCAGTAATTATTTTTTCTTATTGCATAAAGGAGCTTTATTGCTTCATTTCACGCTACTGAAAGATTTTGATAATGTTTATTCAAGGGAAACTAACGGGGAAAATGCCATTAAATTGTAGTATTGTATTCTTAAAAATCAGGGAAAGTTTAGTAATATCAGGTGTTGTCACAATATGATGAAGTATTTGGGGGAGGTGTTGATTTCCAGACTTTTTGAAAGACAGGGGAGTTGGTTCTGTTGAATGTTGCTGCTGTTTAAGTTGTGAAGGTCTTTGAACGTATGAAAAAGCCTCAGCAGAGCAGTTTTACGTGGCCATGGTGGCTCTTTGTGTGTGTGTCAACAAATGCATGTCGTAGGTACAATTAAAATCTTCTCTCTGCAGTTTTTATAGTAGTTTTCTTCTGAATATTAACACTGTTCTCAGTGGGACAGACCTGAGTCAGTTTTATCACAGATAGGATTTGGATTTTTTTTTTGTGTGTGTCAACTTTGTCTCTCCGCTGTTGGAAAATTGTTCTTGGAAGTTGCTTGTAGTAGTTGAGTGTTGTTCAAAACTACTATGATGAGCAGAGAGGAAACAGAGCTGCCTTTCAGAGCTGCTGTCAGGATCAGGGCCAAGGTTTACAGCCACCAAGGTACAATAGTAAAAAGCATTCTGGTGTTGGTATGCAGCTGTGGTGGGAGTTTGTAAGGGCTGAACACCCCCCTTCCCCGCCCCAATTTCAGCCTTATACCTCTCTGTGATATCTGTGGTGTTGCATTTAGGTAACTGAAGTCATAAACCAGCAATCTTTTTTTTAAAAGAAGTAATAATTCTGACCGTACCATGCCTTTAAAAACAAATTCAGTTTGTATGTGTGCTCTGTGAGCTTTACCTAATGGGGGAAACCCTTTCCTGCTCACACCTGTAATGTCTTTATTGCTCTCAGGATCAGCTGGTGACATTGTCTTAAAATAACAAACTTGTGTGTTTCTGTGCTGCTGGGATGATATCAAAATATTTAGGGGGGATAGTAAATGAGTGAGCTGCTGTCAGCCCCGTCTGCCTGTTGTCCTGCTGCACGCAGGTGATTTTGGGTGTGTGTAAAACATTTGGGGTATTTTCAGTGTTGGATGGTTTTTGTGACTCGTTCAGCTTTCCCCTGGTGCCACGGCCATTGGGACCAGCACTGCTGGCTGCTCCGGCTCTGGAAGGTTCTGCCCAGATCCCAGGCACTGAGAGGTTAGCTGCTCTTTCTCCAGGGAATCTCCCACCAAACATGCTGGGTGTGTTTTACCATCTCACAACTGAACCCAGCTTCTGAGTTTGCAGGAAGAGTGCACATTGTGTTTGGGGCTTAATTAATTGGATAAGCAGAAATTGAGTATTTTAAGTTTGTGTTTAAAAAAAACCCCAAACCAAACTGTTGCCTTGATGTTTTGTTTTCAGTGAACACGTGGTGATGTGGTGGGACTTGTGTATTGATTGAAGATCTGCCTGGTAATTTGTCAGGTGTAAACAAGCACGGCAGGCACTGATGCTGTCATTTGTGTTCCGCTGGCTTTTTTGGGGGCTTTTTTTCTAGCAATTTTCTGTACAGCACTCTGGTGTTTTGTCCATCACATAAATTGCTATTCTGATTTCAGCATAATGGGCACCTTACATGAATCTTGTGTATACTGATAACACTTCACAGCACAAAATGTGAGATTTTTTTGGCTAGCGTACGTTTTGATACGATATTTTAGTCGCTAGGTTAATGGCACAAATAACTGTGTTAAAAGGAGTCGGGTTTGGCGTCGTGATGTTTCCCTGCCAGTCACGAGATGGGTGTGTTATTTAATATGTAAAGCTGAAGCTGTAAGGATTTCATGTTTTCTTTTCCTTCTCTCTCTCTTTCTCACCGTCTCTCCCCTCACCCCCTTGTAGGTGTTGGTGGAATGAGCGTTGCGTGTGTTTTGAAGAGAAAAGCAGTACTCTGGCAGGACTCGTTCAGCCCCCACCTGAAACAGCACGCTCAAGATACAGCTAATCCCAACATGCCTGTTGTATTGACATCTGGAACAGGGTCCCAGGCTCAGCAACAGCCAGCTGCAAACCAAGCCCTTGCAGCAGGGACACACTCCAGTCCTGTTCCGGGATCCATAGGAGTTGCAGGTCGCTCCCAGGACGACGCTATGGTGGATTACTTCTTCCAGAGGCAGCATGGTGAGCAGCTTGGGGGAGGAGGAAGTGGTGGAGGCGGCTATAATAACAGCAAACATCGCTGGCCTACTGGGGATAACATTCATGCAGAACATCAGGTAAAAAAAAAAAATAAAAATAATGACAAAAAAAAAAAAGTTGAATGTTTCCAAACTCAAGATGTGAACGCGGCGGGTTTGTGCTGGATGCTTTTAATGACACTTCTTAAAGCTGAAGCTGGTTATTGTGCGGTTGGATTGGCAACAGTCCTACTTGTTGTTTTCTCTTTTCAGGATTGCGGTGCCTTGGTAGCTCTAAGCTGAAATGTTTCTGCTCTGGAGGGTGTTGAAATCCCAGTCCACTCTCCGTGACAGTCAAATGCATGTTTGCAAAATTCATCATTCCCTTTATTGATTGGGTTTTTTTTGGATGTGTGAACCAGTGTAGCAGTGACTGCTGCTGCTTTTCAGATCTGTTGCTGTAGTTAAATAATTCTTATGTAATGGTATTACAAAACTGCCAATGCATGTGGGGTCAGCTTTTACCAGCCCCAATACTGAGAAACACACTTCTGAAAGTTGCTACTAATGTGTTTTCCTGGATGTCTTTGCATGTTTGTTTTATGAGGGTTTTTTTTTTGTGTGTGTGTTTGGGTTTTTTTGTGGGTTTTTGTTTATTTCTTTTAGAATTGGGAGGGGAACGTGCTATTAATGTACTTAGCTGAACTGAGGAGAGAACAGCCTTAAGAATATCATGAAGCAGTGCTTTTTAGAAACACAGCTTAGTGACTTAAAGATTTGAAAGGGGTAGTGGGCCAAACCATGTCTCAGTAGTAGTGTTTACTAGAAATCTTTTCAGCAGTTGCATTGTCAGATGTGCTTGCGAGTTAAATGAGTCCATGACTCACTCTGGCTTTTCTGTCTGTGACCTGTAACTCACTCTTCAAAGAAGGAGATGTGCTGCTTCCTCTGCTAAGGGAGCAGAACTTAAGTCGAATGATTCCCACAAATATCATCAGAAGAGCAGACACAAAGCTTTTGCAATCATTGGGAATATCTCCTGCCTCTAGTTTGGGTTTGTTTTTCCCAAATAAAAGCGAAAAAGCCCTTGTTCCTCTGCTGTGCCTCCACAGGGGATGTGTTGCCATCCGGACTATTTAAAAGCAAACATTGCAGTGAATTTTGCAACCTCACTGAAGTCAGTGTGTACATCAACAAAGAAGTAAACCCAAGTGCCCTCTTAATGTCTTCTGGAAGAAAAAAATCACATAAAATACTGCAATATGAACTAAGCAGCCAGAAGAATATTGTAGTTATTCCCTTATGTGGAAACATTGTATTTAGTTATCACTTTAAAGGAAATAACTGTATTGAAATGAGAAGTAATTTCTCTGTTAACTGTCTGAGTTTTCAGTTGCTAAATGTAAAACTTATTTCAGTAGACATGGATGAAAGAGGTCTTCAAGTGCTTTAAGTTGTGTAAGAAACAATAAGCAAAAATTTCTTTATTGAAAGGCTTCAGCTTTTAAGTTTTTCAAATAAAAACTGTCATGGGGTCTAGTGTGGAGATATTTGGGCAGGGACTGCTTTTGTTTGGACATTTTGTAGAAAGATGACTTAATGAATTAAAATGAATGTCAAAACATTCTCAGTCCTCTTTTTCCTTCAACTCACACTTTCATCTTCCTTTCTCTGAAAACCCCTGAAAGCAAAGACAACAAAACTCATCAGGGATGGGGTGGAGGGGACACCCAAACCCTGCAGTCATTAAACATTGTGCTGGTATTTGCACTTTTCTTACTGCATTCTTTAATAACCACCAGACTCAAACTTTAACTGAAACAAGAGAATCCTACAGAGACTTGCTGTGATGTCAGCAGATGTGTTGCTTTGCCTCAGCTTGATTTTCTTCAGTAACTTCTTGAACAAAATGATACTAGTAATTGTACTACTTCCTGAAAAAAAAAGAAATCTAGTTAGTTTATACCAGTTTAAATGAACTTGTTAAAAAATAATGTGTATATGCTTTGGAGGCAGAACACTTCTGAGGTTGTATGGACAAAATATACCTGCAGGATTAAGCTCACAAGGTTTTAGGTGATGCTTTCTCTGTTTTCCCCCCATGTGTTCTGTGATCTGAAGCTCGAGAAATACCCACTAAATCATAATTAACATTGGAACCTTATCTCTCCTACTTCCTGGTGGTTTTTACATTGGCTGCAATGTATTTGTCATTCAGTCCTGGTGTTTTGCATTCAGTATGCATCTTTAAACCAATCTTTGTGTTTAATTTCTTCAAAGTCAGCTCTGAGAGGGATCAGTAGCCCTTTTCTGTGTGTGTCTCTTTGATACCAGTATACTCCAGCGATGATTGCTGGGCCGGTTTATCTGTGTGTTTGTTGCCACAGCCTTTCTCAGTGCCTCTTTTTTTCCATTGTTCTCTCTTTGCCTCAGGGTTTCACTCATGGGAAGCAGAAGGCAGGATGTATGTAATCCTAGTACTGCCATTCCTTTGGACTTTTTGGCTACCTCTGCTTCTTAAATTATAAATTCCTTGGAGCAAGAACTAGTCCTGTGTGTGCAAAATGATTTAATTCAGTTTAGGTTTAGCTGGGATAGAACTGAATTTGTCCTGCAAGAATAGAAGTGTAAGGAAGTGCTGGGATGTGCAGAGAGATGGGGAATCATTATGAATATCTGCAAAGTCTCAGTTTCTTAGAAATACACTTACATGACTATTTTTGATTTTAGCCTTTAAAAGATAATGCAGTGAGGGCTCTTGCCTTGTTGCCTTGAAGACTGGTTAGGAAACTCAGTAGCTAAAAGATAATGGAAACTCAGAAAAAATAATTATAGGGTAATATAGGTTAATGGCTGCCTAGAGCTTGGGAGGTTGTAATTAAAGGTAGAGGGATTTATTTTAATTGTTGATTCCCAGTTTCTTCTTTGTTACATATGCAGACAGACATCTATCTCTGGCTGTTGGTGATAATACTCCAGTGAGTTTTACCAAATGATGGCATTTCAGCATGTGTTACTAAATAGCTATGGGTGTTGTGAGTCAGAACTTATTTAGGGGATCCTTGCTTTTCATTTTTTATTGTGCTGACTGTTCCTTCTTGTTCACTTGTTCAGACTTTGACTAGCAGCACTGAGAATTGAGCTGTGAATGGCTTTAGCAGGGATGACTTCACAGTTTCTCTGCTCCCAAGGAAGTAGACAGTGTCCTCTTGTTGTGAACAGCAGGAAAATCGTAGAATCATAGAATGGTTTGGGTTGGAAGAGACCTTAAAGCTCATCCAGTCCCAACCCCCCTGCCAGCAGCAGGGACACCTTCCACTAGACCAGGTTGCTCAAAGCCTCATCCAACCTGGCCTTCAACACTTCCAGGGAGGAGCATCCACAACTTCCTTGGGCAACCTGTTCCAGTGTCTGACCACCCTCACAGTGAAGAATTTCTTCCTAATATCTCATCTAAACCTCCCCGCTTTCAGCTTAAACCCATTTCCCCTTGTTCTGTCATTAACTGCCCTTAGGAAAAGTCCTTCCCCAGCTTTCTTGTAGCCCCTTCAGGTACTGGGAGGCCACTAGAAGGTCTCCCTGGAGCCTTCTCTTCTCCAGGCTGAACAGCCCCAACTCTCTGGGCCTGTCCTCACAGCAGAGCTGCTCCAGCCCTCGGGTCATCCTGGTGGCCTCCTCTGGACTCGTTCTAACTGGTCCATGTCTTTCTTATGTTGGGGGCTCCAGAACTGGACGCAGTGCCTGGTTTTATTTTTTTTTCCTAGAAAATTTATCTCCCCTTTACATTTTTCCCTTCTCATCCAGAAGGGAGAGGGGAGAAATAATTATAAAAATAAGCAATTAAAGATGCTACTGTCATTGTGCATGTTTAGGTATTAAAGATCCACCATCCACACAAATAGCAGATACTATAAACTCCTTTTTTCTTGCAGACACTGAAGTAATGGTGAAATCAGACTTTTTTTTTCTAGATTGGAATCTCTGAACCATAGAATGGTTTGGATTGGAAGGGACCTTAAAGCTCATCCAGTTCCAACCCCCCTGCCAGCAGCAGGGACACTTTCCACTAGACCAGGTTGCTCAAAGCCTCATCCAACCTGGCCTTCAACACCTCCAGGGAGGAGGCATCTACAGTTTCTCTGGGCAACCTGTTCCAGTGTCTCACCACCCTCACAGTGAAGAACTTCTTCCTAATATCTAATCTAAACCTGCCCTCTTTCAGCTTAAACCCATTTCCCCTTGTTTTGTCATTAACTGTCCTTATGAAAAGTTCTTCCCCAGCTTTCTTGTAGCCCCTTCAGGTATTGGAAGGTCGCTATAAGATCTCCCTGTAGCCAACTCCTAAGCAAACTTCCAGCTGTCTGCAGCTACAAATACTTAATTACCAAACCTTACAGGGAGGACACTTCCATCTTGACTGCAAAATGTGGTCTTCTCTGTTTATCCACAAAAGGCAGCAAGATGAGGCTGAGTGTCAATGTCCATCAGTATTTCGAAGAATAATACTGGAGAGGTTTAGGCTGTGGTTAGTCTACGATGCCCGATGACTCTTCAGGCTGTTTGAGCAGGTAGTTAGCTGCACCGGGGTGTTTGTGTGCTGTTTATCCTGCAAAAAATGAGTTGAGATCACAACCTCGCTTCAAGTAGATGAGTGAAGAGATGCGAGGTGACTCCTGATGAGTAATGGCCTGGATTGGATTTGTCTTGCTTATGAAAGGTTCCATATCTCATTCCAAATCCAGACTGCCTTCTGCTGCTCCTGAGGGGAATGAAGAGACAGGCGAGATACTCAGCTGGGAGAAGTTATCAACGCTGAGCAGGTTTTTAGGGAAATTGGCCGGGTTTTCTTGGCCGGGGTCTCCTGTGGCTTGTGCATGCCTGTCTGTTCTTGAAGTGGAGTGGAGAGAGAGTTTCTCTGGTGGTGGTCCCTTCTGAATTACAGTGAGTGGATATACTTAGACTGTCTGGATTGCAGTTAGGGTAATATGGGAGTTGCTTAGTAGAAGCAAATGATTTTAGGGATTTGCTTTCTTTGAGAGCATGTTTAATTAATAATTTGAGACAATAGAACTCTATAGGGAATGTCTTGTTGAATGTGG